TTCCTACAGAGTTTTTTCAAAATAGAAACAATAAGACACAAACCGTACGTGCTTCACATCGTTTGTAGTGTATCCAATTGTAAATTATCGACTCCAATGACTAAGTGGCTTAAGGTTATATTCCCTACATATTTTTTACACGTACAAGAATTTGCAAACGCAGATGCCGAGTTGGAAGATATGAAATCCTACAACGTTCCTGAGAACAGTGACTCATCTTGTGATTGCAACGTCATGAGTTACCTGGGTACTACCGTGACTTGTATCCATTGCGATTCTTTGATCAAAAATTTAAACATGCCATTTTTGGCATATGCGTGGAATTCTTATTGGACTGCTGTGGAGCGTGCATTCGTGGGTAGAACGTCCTACGTAAAGGTGCATGTCCCACACTCGGCAATACACTTGGATAAGTTAAAAGCGTTAAAATTAGACGACACGTGTAGTGTGAAAAGCGACGGTAACGGAGTAGAAACGTGTTGTTTTCAACAACGAAACACTTCTACCAAAGGATCCTTCACTTCTAAAATTCGAAACAAAATTATAACAAAATAATTTTCCTTTATTGAATTTTATAAATTACACTTTTTGTACATTTCATCGATACACATTTGTTCTAAATCGTGCAACGTTTTTTTACCGAATTCAATACCTTCCAAATACTGCTCATATATCCTGGAAAGTTGGTGTTTGCGATCATAAGTATCTGAAAAACACGTTGTGTAAGTTTCGATTGGTTTGGTCTCTATCGATATCGATACAGACTGGTTTCCGGATTCCGACTGCTGAAGTTTCACAACCGAGTGTACGTAGGCGCCACGATAGAGCTCTTTCGGTACGTCTGTCGCGTCGTTTAGTGCACAAATCACATCTGTAAGTTTTGCAGAACAATCCACCATGTCCTGGTCGGCCACCTCGTCGTCGTAGTTTCCTCTTTTGACATTGCAACAGTCTACACACATTTTTAGATTTTTCCTTGGTCCCTTTCTTCTCTTCGTCGATGGATCCCGTTCGTTCGTTTTGAATAAATTGTGGATGTCCTCCAATTCCCACATCTGGACGATAAATTGCAGACTTTTTGTTGCACAATCTTTGAATAAAGGCACTGTCGTTGTACTCGAGATTTTCGAGATGTACACTCGGGCGTATGCGTCCGTCCTTGTATATTTTACACAGAATGATGCAGTCTATCAAGACACGTCCGTCACTGTCGAGTACAGATATGCGGTCTGATTCGTACAGAGAAAAATGTAGTTTATCAACGTTTATATTACCGGAAGACGAACGTATTAATGTTTTTTCCGCGATTTTTGGATCGAAAACACATAACAAGTGTTTATTATCGTCGATAATTTTGAAACAACAATGTTCGTCTAAAAACTCTTTGGAAAACCCTAATATACGTACTATATACCAAGGGGGGGTAGTCTTCTCTGTAACGTTTGCTTGAAGTCTACGTTCGTATATAGTCCTCGTTACAACCTGTTTTAATATTCGATTATAATTTAAAAACGACGAATCGTTTGTAGATCGGTTGCATGCGCGAATGTAAGATTTGCACAAATCGTCTTGAGTTTTAATTGCAGCCGCGTTCTGCACAACTTCGTCACACCATTCGATGACGCAATCGTCATCTACGTAACTTAAAACAGCAGAATCGTTTACACTGCAACTGTTTAGTACATTGAAAGTATTATTATCTATACCGCTCTTCAAAACACTGCGGTTGTACAGACTAGTATTACGTCTATCTACTGGAAGAAACATGGTTGGGGTGGAATGAAAAATTACCGAAGTTTACGCTCTTTATATATCAATTTCTAAATCCGTGTATTCTAACCCATATTTCTTTATACAACGAACCAAGCAAAAAAGTCTCCGTTATAGTTTGACCCACCTTTTGATAACATTCCATACTTTGTGGATCGTAAGATATAGCTACACGGTGTGCACAATAATCTTCGTTAAAGGAAGGCAATGGTGTCCCGTATAATATGGGACGATTTTTTCCATAAACATCGTAAAGTTTATCGTAATGATTGTTGTTTTCTTTATCCGTGTTCGTTGGATCGTGTTGAAGTAGGTCCATTTTATAAAAATATGCCATATAATAAATATATATATTGTCTACGAAACATTTATAACTGCTATCTGTTTTCTTTAGCTTTGCCCATATATGTTTCTGAACGTCTGGTATGTCTTTATACTGTTCAAACATGACTTCCGAGCCTGGTGTATATCGTACTATGCGTTTCGAATCTTCAGTTCCGATGGCAAATGCATCGAGATAACAGAATTTATTATAATACACTCTATTTTCTCTCTTAATATAACGAACGTCTCCTACGTCTTTCATGTATCCTTTAGAAGAAAATGGCCGATACGTTGGACAAGACGTTGTTTCGCAACCGCTCTTTGTAAAAATATAACGGCCGTACGGACATTCTTTCATGGGACATTTATAAGGATATGGTAAATCTTCCCAAAGTACAGACCCCTTTCCGAAACAGTCGAAATAGTTATCCGTTTTTTCTTCGCGACGCTTCTTTAAGTACATATGCAAACCGTATAATCCAGCGTTAACAATGTCTACATTTGTTGGACGAGCCATTATTGATAAAAAAACCTGTCCCCTTGAAATTTATGCTTTTTTTCTACAAAATAAATGATATATGCAATGGAACTTTGTACGAACTGGGTTAATCGTGCCGAAAATCTCATAGCTGTTTATTTATACGAACCGTCAGACAGACAACAACAATTGAAAGAAAGTGTGAGCATGGTGTACACGATATTTGTAGAATTTGAAAACGATCCCGATTTTCGAAACAAAAGTCTTTTATATTATATTGATTTTGTACACGACGCGTTGATGGACGTTGTATCCAAACATGCAAGTATGGACATCATAGATGATTATTCCTTTTCCGTGTGCCAAGAACAAAATGCTTATAAAAGGTTTCGCGATCACATATTGACACAACTACCACCAGAAGAGCGAGACTATGAATACTCATATTCGGAACTTCATTTAGAAGAAAATTTAAAAATAAGAAAGTACGTAGAAACACTTGCTACTATATTAACGTAGCTATGCACAAAAGGAGCAGATCTATACTTTCTGAAAATTGGACAAATTTAACTCTACGAATGATAGAGAAATATCTTTCCAATATACATGCGGTCGAGATACAGACACATTTAAATATACATAGGCACATTCAAGATGACCTCATGTATTGTATTGAAGATTACGACGAATTGGAATACAAATATGAATTAATTAAGCGGTATCTGACACTACATGCTCCCCGAAATTGTGCAACGTATGACAACGATTCTAACGAATGGAGGATTGCATATATTTTGCTTCGAAAACGCTTACGAAATGAAAACAGGTGGTGGCATTTCGTAACGTGTTTTTTAGACTGACTATATAAAGACTGAAAAAGGAACCAGTACGATTCTCAAGATGACAACAATTGATTTGGAGTGGATCGTTCTCACGAGGACGATTTTAAAAAAGTATCGAGGACTTATGACTTATAATCTTCATATAATTATGCGTGATTATAAACTCTTTCGAAGACAACAACTGTACGAGGACTCGGAGGCTCTGTATGACAACATATTGGATTCCATGGATCGCATTTTTCAACTGATGAGAGTACACATCCAAGAACAACCCTGCTGCACTGTGATGCGTGACAACGATTACAACGAATGGCTGTCTGCATACTACATATTAAGAACCAAGTTAGAAGACGAAAGAAGAACCAAATACCGTTGCTGTTATAACATTTTTTTACTGACCCCATGTTAAAAATGTGGTTACATGTTATTCTTCGACATCGCGTCTTCGTCGTGGTTGTGCTTGTGGTGGTGGTGGTGGTTGTGGGACTTCCTCCTCCTCCTCCTCCTCTTCTTCTTCTTCTTCTTCGGTGGACGTATCACCGTCGTAGAGATCTGTCACACCCTCTGGTTGAGTGTACCCCATTGTCCTTGTAATGTTTAGGAAATTATCATATACCTTTTGGTTCAACTCTGTACGAGGCATGTTGTCCAATAAACGGAATAAATTTATAACGAGTTGTTTTTCATTTTCATCGTTACGTATTAATGTAACGATGTGTTGTGCATGACTGTACGAAGAATTGTTATCCCCATATTTTGCCATACTTTGACAACGTTTCACAATTTCTTCCGCATTATTTTTGCTACTATAACATAATATTTCGTTGCATGCATTGTTATCGTAATGTACGTGTTTTTCCTTGAAATTGCTACTTTGATAGCGATTTACGACATTCTCCGCCCTACCTTCGATTAAAATTGCATTCGGTTTAAAAGTAGCTTTATCGCCAATTAATTTGTGTGTATTAGTCGCTAGTCTAGATTGTGTACGGATCATGGCCTCGTATTGTTCCCTATGATTTTGTGGATCTACTGTAAAAACGTTTGCATTTTCCATGCCATCGTCGTTTAATATGTTTGGTACGATAACTGTCATAGAAGAAGATTTCGTCGTAGTGGGTTGAGTAGCTTGTGCTCCTAGTCCTTTTCCATTGATTATCTTTTTTGGCATGTGAACGAAAGTCGTTCTTGATATAGATGCCAATGGATTGTTAGGCTGTGTACGCAGGACGTAAAACGTTGTTCGGTCGCAAACTTTATTTGCCAAAAGCCGTTTTTCACTCCAGTTACCTGTTACACGCTTTCTTTTTCCGGTTCTCGATTCCGTACATGGACCTAACGGTTTTTCGTCGTAACTTTCTTTATAACTAGTAATCGTACGCAAAACTTTATTATTTTGCGCATTTACGCGTTGCGTAATTGAACGAGGATCGCATACGTCGTGAAAGAAATTTTCAAAGTATTCGTCGTCGAAATTATAACGAATTTGATTGGACACGGCCTCGTTGATAAACATGTCCATCAACATTTGGTTCATACTTGGCATTACATTTGAGTAATATGTTGGTTGCATTGTTGTTTTTAGTTTATGAATCGTACGTAATAAATTTAATAAATATTTTCCCTTTGTTTCTTAAATGAACGTGGGAGTATCCGCAAGTCATAGAGCTTAAATGATACATTTTTTCTCTACATCTATTAAGTTGTATACCGTTTGTCAAATCGACGTGATTGCCAGTCTCGAAGGAAAAGAAACACAGCGAAGGGTTCGATATTTTAAAACTAAAAGTTTCGTTCCAACGATGCATCGGATTGCGATTCGTATTGTATACCTTTAGATCTTTTGTACCGTCCTTTACATATATAATGACGACATCGACGTCCTGTATGAGATTAATGTTCAAACCGGTAATTATCGAAACTTCCACTCTTTGAACAGATTGTTTAGCGACGCTGTCCCTTAAAACGTAACCACATTTACCGTTATTAGCAAAAAATGCACGATTGTAACGTAATGCAAGATCGTTTGTGGCTTGCACATTTAATGCAACCAACTGTATACCGATGGCCCATTTGGGTATGGGATCCATATTAGTTGACGTCGAACGACAGGGATAAACCCTCACGATATTATTCTCGTGTATATTATCTAGATTTATATCGTGGTTTTCAGCTACACTAATTGTGTTTATGCCGTGTACGATACTCGTAATTTTGCCCAGAACGCTACTTTCGTTGACAATTCGACTTCTAATTAAAATTTTATAACGCAAATCGTACGGGCTCTTGTTGTTAAGTGGAGGGTAAAACAACTTATCTCCTAAAATTTGCACAATCACAGCACCAACTTCGTTTTCGTCCGCATGATTTTCTATAGTTATAATCAATGGATAAGGCGAGTTTTCGAACGCATTTTCACCAATTACTTTTAAAACATCTATTAATTTCAAATGAGGCGTCACCAGAGACAAATTAGAATGACACACTAAAAGTCCTGGCCAAACATCCACTTCTACACATTTGCAACCGACGTTTTTAATGGCATATTTATACGTCTCCAAAGACGCTGATCCGTACCATTGATGAGGTCCTTGTATATACGTATTGTGAGATGAATTTATGAAATAATTCTTGAAAGGTCTAGTCATGTCTTGATAGACTTGCATACAAGTGAGCGGAAAACGTATGGTAAGTGCCGACAATATTTTTCGAAACGATTCGTCATCGCAACGTAAATACCAATCGCTTCGATTATATTTCGATTGTTCTAATATTCCGTCTACTAAACAAGTCCAAAAAATAGCTCGGTCTTCGTCGCTAATGAATTGGCTGGTTGCATGAATGGATTGAGAATGTAGAAATTTTTTTACAGCGTCCGACGATGCCATGTGTTGTCCGCGGCGACGGAGCAACATTTGAAACATCGTGTCTATGTCTGGTCGTCTCCATTTCAAGACTTCCGAGATGTTTGGCTTACTAATGACACGTTGAACTATTTTCGTAATCCTAGAAATGGCGTCTGGATCGTCTCTAACCCATATCAAACTCGGTTGATGGTTTATTGTGTCATTTTTACCTATGAGGTCTATAAGCCGCTTACAATAAGAATTCGCCTGTTTATGCGTTTTGAAATAAAGAGCGTATACGACTTTATCTCGAGTAATTACGTGGACCGTGTTATGTCTGCGTTTACCTTGAATTCGAACTATGTTTGACACAACGACAGCCATCGTGTTTATATGCACATGCGAATGACTTGCTTTAGAAAGTATGATGGGTTCGTTTTTTCTGAGCAAGAAATTTAAAACCCTTTGCCGAAAAGGTATATGAACATTTACTTCTTCTTTAGGTTCGTGTATAGTGTTTTGAAAATTTATCAAATAGGAACCGTCCACATCGATAATTTGTGGACCACGTTCTAATGGACATATGTTGATGTGACATTTGTAATTTTTTTTATGTCCAGCGATGTGCATTTTTTATTGAAATAAAAAAATGCAATCACTACTACTGTTCGTTTTCGTTCTTTCTAGTGTTCGTGGTCAGAATAACGATATTTTACTACAAGAACGAGCACGATTGGATACCAAGATACTCGTCGATTTAATAAGCAAAAATGCTTCCGTGAACAATTTACGCGCAGATTTACGACAAATGGTTTTCACGGTTTATGGGGTTTTAAAATTTTTAGGAGAGAATGCCATGAGTGGTGCATCAAAATCGATAGTTTCGCATAACGAAAGCATAATATTAAATGATAAGTGTAACATTGCTTTACAATTACAACTCTTGAACTCTAGTATAAAAACATGTACGAATAAGACGGTAGTCGTGACGAAAGTTAGTAATGCAAATTGTGAGACGTGTTTGAAATCACTAGAAAAGTGCGAATCTCTATCAACAATAACAACAACAACAACAACTAATCATCGTGAAGACGATTTACTAATTCAATTTAAAGATAAAATGTCCAAGATGTTAGGTGGGAGACGGTACGATGGAAATTTCATTGTACCTAGCTCTATTCCAGTTACTAGCGAGAGTCCACATCAACCATCCAACCGTCCCACTGAGAAATGCAACCACGATGTAATTCATCGATTAGCTGAAATTTTAAATATAGATACGAAAATATTAGAACGCATGCTATATTATTCGGTAGGCGCAATGTCTACATCAGTTTTCGTAGGAGGAGTTGTTACATATAAAAGAAAAAATGGCGCTATACCTATTAAAAAATTAGACGACAGTCCTAAATTGGCCGAACTCTTTACAGAAGCTATTGTAGACCGATATTCCATGCCACATTTACCAAAAGCTATATAGTTGTATTATGAGTAAATGTAAAACTGAAAAGTTACATCTGGTTTGAATATTTTCTCCTCACCATCAAAGAAACTATTACGAACCGGTATCCAAAAGCTATAGATAGTGTATAAAAAACTGTATAGTTTGTAATATCATTTAATATGGAGTGAATAAAACAAACAACAAATTTTACAATGGCTTTAAAAGTAGTGTGTCTCTACACTCTATATCTTTTGTTTTGGACGTGCTATGGTTCTACAATTGTTACATATTTACCCTGGTATAGTAAATCGTTTGAGCGATTATATTTCTCAATTTCGGGAGCCATCATCGGAGTACTTGTACTCTACATTTTAGTAAACATGTACGACAAACGTGTAAGTATGCATATGCGTTTACGAGAGAAAGACGAATAAAAACATTTTACAATGGTGTATATTAAACTCTTCTCTAATTAAATTCCATTTCGTAAAAAAATGAGGTGTACGAAAAAATGTTGGCGATTCTTACAATAACGATTTTTCTTATTGCATTAGGACGTTCCGAAATTGTTCCACAGTCGTCCGAAGTGATAGAAATTGCTTTTCGTCCTAATGTTGTATCGCCAATACATCCTGCGTGTGTGAATACGTCTTTAAAGCTTCGAAGTCTACGCGAAAATGTTTTAAAATTGAAAAAGAAAATGTATTCATATTTTCTCGATGTCGAAAAGGAATGTACTGATTTTCGAAAGAGCTTATCCCAAGTAACAATACCGTGTATTTATCCACATTTAAATAAATCTGCCGATTTGACGCAGTGGAATATGAACGTGCAGGCGATAGGAAGTCATATATACGATGTCAGTAATTTATATAACATTTTGGATATCCAGTTCGGTAAACATATTTTTCTAAAGTATTCCAACAAAGACTGTCAAGAAGCGTATATCGACTTTAAACATAACTACTCTTACCCTCTTGGGTTGTCGTTTTTGGGACAACACCCGGATTCAGATTCCTTTTTTCGTCCAACGACGCGTGAGAAGGGTTATTTTTACGATAAAAAACCATCAACGTATCAACTTGTCTACGAACACTTGTCTTGGCTCTTAAATTTTGATCTACGGTCGCGTAATCAAACTGCATTAGACGATGCTAACATTATACAACATTGTAGAAAGATTAAACCATTTATGAGTCAATTTTTTACAGTTGCAATGACGGAACAAACGTTATCTATTCTACACTATTTGCGAGCATGGCGTAATGGTGCATATTTAACGCATTGGCAAGTCTATTGCTTTTTTCATAGTCCAGAATATATAAGTAATTGTGGACATATTTTTGACACTTTAATAATAAAGTTAAATAGTTACGTCGATTATAAACACGAAACGAGGTTGACTGCGTACAATGCATGTTGTGAAAAACGAAAATGCAACGTTAGTGTAAATTTACACGCACCTGGAAACTTCCCCCAGTATCCGGAGAGTAAATATATCGTGAAACACCAAGACGTTTGGATTCCACATTTTATATCCGAAAGCATCGTTATAACTACCCCAATAGAAAGCGTTCTAACTCCACCTCCAAAAACACGACTTCGAGAAAATGCTCGCACGATTCAACTGGCAGATGTATTACGTGCACCACCTTCGGCAGATGTTCTCACATTGAACTCTTCGATGTTCGATTTATTCACAGAATATATTGGCACTCCAAAAACTTTTAATGGAGTAGGTGAATTATATCGCATGATATCTAAGAAGGTGACACGACAAACTGTTCTTGCCGCTTCGTATTTGACTACTCAGAATATAGCAAATGTTTGTAATATTTGGTTGAAAAGCGCTTTAAATGAAAAACAAAACTTTTCGAGATATTTACGAGAGTGTGAGGCGGACATTTTAGATGAGAAAAACAATTGTACAAGAATTAAAAGAGATTTAGAGCTTCAATGTATATCGGATAATGAGCAATGCATGTCGGAAAAGACTACATGTAATCTCGCTTTATTCGATACGAAGATGGAATATTTACAAAATATTACGGATTTACAAAATGAAGCGAACGTTAAATTCACAAATTATACCCTCGATCTAGCGAATGCAACTCAGTGGCGCTTAAATTTACTTGCTGAATGTCAAAAGAATGCGTCGATTCAGCAAGATAAATGGCACGAAATACTAGTTAATAAAAATCTTACCAACTTACGTGAAGTGTGCAGATGGGAAGTGAAACAGGAACGTACCAGAGGTTTAACATCAGCTGCATATTGGAGGAATCAATATTATTACGAAATAGAATCACAACCAGAAGCACATTACATGTATAAAGAAATGATGAATTGTACACAACGCGAAGCTGCCTATAAATTCTTGCCAATATGTATTGGACGCCGATTATATAATAGACGTCCGCTAGATAGAGTTTGTGAGGAGAGAATGGTTCTTAATTACAGTCGCACAATCGAAAAATGTAAGGAAAGTATTTCTCTAAATTACACCGATTCACAAAAAGAATTCTTTGACGACTGTATGGATACAGTAATTAATAATTTCACAAGAGCAAATCAATTATGTAATGAAAGAGTGCGCGAGGCATTACACACAAATTATACGCAAGTATCATCAATTTACGGTAGTAATTATACTGTAATCCTTAACGAATGTACAATAAATATGACAAGCCTCGCCGCGGCAGATTCCATACTTTGTGATAAGAAATGTGACAATGTAAGCCAACGACTTCGATTCGATCTAAACGAAAATTTTACAAAAACATTGAAAGATAATTTTACCGCTACTGAGAAGTTTGAACGAAACCGTTGTCTCGGTTTATTAGAAAGCAACTACACAAGGTGTAATGAATCTTTTACAAATGCGTGTAATATACAGGCGAATGCATTGCGAGATGAATGTAAACGTAACGTAAGTTTAGGAAGAAACGAAACGTTTACGAATACAAAAGAGATACACGATCACGAAACTCGTTTTTTGAGACTGGAACACAATAATACTATTCAAGATTTGTCGACGTGTGAAAAGACTTTGATAAATGCAACGAAAGACATAGACATATGTAAGATAGATTTAAAATTTTATAAAACTGAATTCGAAGAATGTGATATACGTAAAGACGAATTACAAACCGCAAACCAAAATTGCGTACAATGTAAAACAGATTTACTTTCAGAACGGAACTCAGCGGTCGGACTACGATCTACCATCGATAGACAACGCCAAGCCTTTACAGATAAACGTATTGCTACGCCATGTTACTTTGGTACAAACTATTTTCTGCAATCTCTTTTAAATTTTACTAATCACGAATACGACGATTCCGAAGAAGTAATTAGCAAATTAAAGGGTGAAATTGAAGAGTTATTACGAGACTTGGAAACACAAAAATCTATGGTTACGAGTTGTATGAATCAATGTAACAAATCAATGGATTTCGTTAAAACAAATGCCAGAGGAGAATGTGAGTTGGCTATAACTAATAATAAATTTATTCAACTAGAACAAAGCACAAATAAATTAGCTGTAATGCAAAATGTACACACTAAAGAAATGGCAGATATGTCTAAACAATATACATATATATTAGAATCTTGGCGATTATCACCAGCGAAAAAACCTGTAAATATAGAACGATTGAGCATACCAATAACTGTTCGATTCGATTTAGAAAATGCTATAGAAACCGAGAAACTAAAATTTCAGTGTGATATTGACAAAATGAAAGATAAAAACATTTTCAGAAAGAAGGTATCTGAGTGTGAAAACGAACTACATCTGACGAAAATAAATTTAGATTTCTGTACTGACAGAATATCTTCTTTAGATATATTGTGTGACCAAAAATACGTATCGTACGTTCAAAGATGTAGTAGAGAAGTGGAAGTGGCTAACAACAATACATATAAAGCACGTGAGGTCATACAACACTGTTATGCGCGCGAAAAGAATCTCTCTCGCGATTTAATGCAAATGAATAGTGATATGTCACAGTCATTATTACTTGCTCTAGATAATTGTACGTTTGACGTGTTTTTGAACGATACGATTTGGAAAACTGCAGTACATTCTACTGTAGATGAAAAGAGGCAAATGATATTAGATGCTGTAGATAAAATTATTGCTATTCAAATGAAGAATTACTCAGAAAGTTACTTAAAGAGACTT